GGTTGCAGTCTTTATTAGCAAATACAACGGAAATATGTTCCCCCTTTACAAACCGGAATGAATGACTGGGTTGCGGGCGTAAGGGATAGGAAAGTCGTAACTATCCTTACTGCCTGCATGCAAAGTTATATTGACTCGTCATAACCAACAAGAAAGGTGATTATAAGTCTCGCCCGCCCATTAGTTTATCGCCCGTCAATTTTTTTCTGGTAATTAATATCCAAAAACACGTCACCTAAATTTACTTAATAACCTATTCACATTCTCCTAAAGCAGCGTATAAGATGCGGGCATATAGCTTTATAGTCCACAAAGAAACAGGATTTGAACAAGAAACGGTAGCGTAATTACTTTTATAATTTGGTTTTGTGTTTTGTTTGACTACCCACGTGTTCTTGTAAGTATAAGTTGCTTCATTAATGTGTACTCACTTAATTATTTTATCGTGTCATGAAGAGCGAAGGTAAGAGAAGAAGATTGTATATTAAATGTAGCAAGTGAGGGCTGGCACAGGACAGGCATGAGTGAGGATGATTGGAGCAGTCCTTTACCCAAAAAAGGGTCATTACTTAAAATTATTTGTCTATTTGCACTGACTGTAAATTGATTAAGTGTGAAGATAAATAAAGTTTTATCATTATTTACGCATTAATGTAGCGCGTTTCATTTTTTGTACATTACTATAAACTGTGCGACATTAGATTATAATAAGTTCGCTTAGTTATTATGTGACTTCAACTATCTAGAAGATCTACCCTCGGACAAGATTTTATATGCCTTTCACACTGACTCATGATCGCGTAGCGTTATACAATAGGACCGACAGTTAGACCAATACTCGCACATGTTAAAATCAATAATTGTTTTCACTTCACTTGGGAGCGCCGGGTCATTAAAATAGAGTGGATGGTTAAATCGGGCACATCGCCTTTTGTGTACAGCCTGGCTGTGTGACCGCAGCCCTTGTCCCCCCGGGCCGATGTGGGCTCGCAAACAAGACCCAACTAGGGCCCTCCATTGTGTTTACAGCATAGATGTCTTTGAAACTGACATGATGAAACCCGTGTCGTGTATAGGCTCGAAGTTCTAATTTAAATGCTTTGGTTTTATGTTATATTGAATACTTATTAATGTACTATGTTCGTTCCGGACACTGTCGTCGATTACGAAGGGCTGGTGTTAAGTGGTTACTGGAGCCCATAGATATCTACAACGTAAATGCTCAACCCACCTTGAGATATAAGTTCTAAGGTCTCAGTATAGTTACAACGGCTGTCCCACCCTTCAAACCGAAAAGCATTACTGCTTCACAGCGGAATTAGGCAGGGTGGTGGTACCTACTCGTGCGGACTCATAAGAGGTCCTACCACCAGTTAAACTCGTGTCAACGACTCATATAAATCGAATAAAATACTTTATACTTTATTATTTTAAAATTGTTTATTGGAAACGATTTTTTCATGATGCGCATGTAGTGCGACGTCACGCCGCGTGCTTATTTATAAACACTACACAAGCGCAACGTGTGAATGTGTTGAACGCGAACTATATGGTAGGCGGAGTGGGGGTGTTAGGTTTTATTTTCGTTACGGAATTTCTTGATTAGGCTCAAAGCCCGCGATATAAGTATGTACATTAAAAGTGTTTTTTTGTTTGTTACGTTAGATCTGTTAGACATAGGATATATGTGAGCGAATTTCGTGAAAAATCACACAACATCGTGTTACACGAAGACGTACGGTAGACAGGAGTGTCAGAACACGCGGCTCCGACGGCTGACGGCCGCTAACGATGGCTGAAGACACGCCCCGCATATGTATTTATATTCGTGTGTAGTTAAATACTTTGGTTCGTGTGATCGTTATTGTATATGGCAGCTATAACACAAACTTTTTCCGTTATTTGTTGAGTAAATTACTCGCTATTAAATTTGTACAACTCTACTTTTTTCCTTTCTTTTTTCCCACACATGACCTTAAAGCGATTGGAAAATACCGTCAGCGGATCCATTGTGGTTTTTGAGCGCCATGAAGATCTTTTTGACAAACGAGATCTAAGGAGACCTAAGCACTAGGCAAAGAGTCAGCTATGCTAAAAAAACATTTGCGTCTAGTTTTAAATATCAAAACATAATAAATAAATAAAATTTAACGGATTTTATGACCTGGTAACTAAGACTTTTAGGTCAAGTCTTATTTTAATAAACATTAAAAAAATACTTCATATAAAAGAGATGTTGTAAAAAAGTTTTTTATTTTTATTGCATAGGTGGATGGACTAGCTCACAGCCCATCTGATGTTAAGTGGTTACCGGAGCCCATAGGTTGTTACGTTACGTTTTCGATTCCGAATAGTTCGACTTCTATACTGTCTCAATGTGTCCGGCGACATTCATATTGAAGTGTCTATGTTTGCTTGACGTCTAGATGTATCCACGTCTTATTCTGAGCTAAACCAGTCATCGCTCTCGTCGAACCCATCGCTTGCGACGAAGGGCTCGACGAGTAAATTAACCCACAGACACAGCCCACTGAGTTTCTCGCCGGATCTTCTGAGTGGGTCTCGTTTCCGATCCAGTGGTAGATTCTACGAAGTACGGCTCTTGCTAGAGTTCGTGTTAGCAAGGTCGTCAGGTTTGAGCCCCGTGAGCTCACCTACTAGTAAAGGTTACGCTGAAATAGCCTCTCAAGGCTATCAGCTTAGATAGGAAAACTCGAAGCCTCCTAATTAAGTTTTAAAGTTATTTGCAAAATGGGTTGCACTATAAATAAGAACAGTAGAATTCTGCCCGTAAAGTGTAAGACAATGTCAGGAACACATTTTCACTGCACAATATCGGCCAGACAGGGAGCAGTTCCCCTACTTATTGTCACGCCTTATTGTCAATTAACATCGTCCGGGCTATGTTCGAGTTGAATTCCATTTTGTTTCAACGCAGCGCAACGTTGTGTTACTGATTCATTTATTTCAGCGGAATAGCTTAAAATTTAAAACATGTTTTTTTAAAAGTTAATATGTTTACTATTTTTGAATGAAGGTCATGTTCTGTTAATAGTAGCAGTGAAAATGATAATAAACCTAACGATGGACCCTAGAAATCTTTCGGAAAGTAAAAGGAAATCTCATTCCGATCGTTATTCGATAGAACCATCAATATGTAGTTTGCCCTCTGCAAAATCGTTCCTTGATAAAAATCTTTAAATATCTACACATGTATGTGGGATTAGCTCAAAGTAAATTACATTTTTTTGGAAAAGTAACACAATTTAATATAACACACGTCGTAAAATGTTCACACTTCTAATGCCCGATCGCCATCTTAATCATCTCCCTTCCGTCCCTCTCTTCCACATACATCCATCCCTTTCACTCTAAGCGTTCCCTTTCCCACATGTAGGTATGTAGTCATTCAAACTGACGTAGGATAATTTAATGCAATGGTATATGTAAAGGCATGTGTAGGTCTACGGTAATATAAGTATATGTGTAGCCACAAAGGTAGTAGAAGCTGTAGCTATTATGTAATACAAGATATTTGACAAATGGCCCAATCCCGATAAAGACATTATCAAGACCTACTTGCGTATAAATAAGTTCCGAACAACAAATTGGATTGTCGAAGCGTCGGTCTGTCGAGCGATATCACCAGTTCGGTGGTTGATTTTCACATTTTCGATTCCTTCAAAGATTATCAAGAATTCAATTCACTGGCGATTAAACCTACGCTGAATCTAAGATTTAAGTTGTGAATATCTGAAAATCGCAATTCGTCGGTTTCATACACATAGTTCGGACGTACATAAGTAGGTCTAGTAAAGCTCGAATTTATGATGTTAATACGACAGCAGGAGATCAATGTAGAAAAAAGCTGCAGGCAGAGAAAAATGGAACGACGCAATAAGTCAGTCACTTTGTGAAATACAATAGAAATAAGAGCGCGTAGAGGTTACGCCGTAGCACCTCTACGCTTCCGTCGGTATCTCGCTCTACGAGTTGACAATTGTGCGTTTAATTTCTTCGTTCATAGCCTTATTGCTGCGTTGTAGTCTCTGTAGGATCATTAACCTTGCAGCTTCTCGTCGAACCCGTCACTAGTGACGAAGGGTTCGGCTAGTAAACTAACCCATAGACACAGCCCACTGAGTTTCTCGCCGGATCTTCTCAGTGGGCGTTTTCGCGTTTCCCATACGGTGCTAAACTCTGCGAAGCACTGCCCTTGCTAGTACCAGTGTTAGCAAAGCCTCCTAGTTTGAGTCCCGAGAGCTCACCTACACGTTAGGGTTACGCTGACATAGCCTCTCAAGGCTTTCGGCTTAGGTAGAAAAAAAAACCTTTCAGAATTATGTTTATATTGCAATTACATGCTTATAGGCAGAAAAGAGTTGGGAAATTAGGAACACTTAGGAATAAAGTTCAGAATATTTAAGACGCTCCTTGTTATTGTTATTATGGTTTAATAATGGACTGATGATCCGTCCTCAAAGAACTTTGGACGACTAATTTTCCAGTACAGGTTCCAGCGAGTTGTTTCAATGAATCACCACTGGTTTTTTGAAGAAAGGCAATTTAATCAAAATGTTGTTACGCGCTGGGGTTCGGGATAAATAAATGTTCCACCAAAGTATAACTTTAAAACTATATTTGTACTTAGAACACTTAAAACACTTCACAAACACTTTAAAATTCTCAATTCACTTCTTCCGCTTCGCTTCGGGTGATCCGTTCGCTGTTTCGCTTCGATTCGTTCCGATTACTAACTGACTGCGTGCCATCTCTGCAACGTTTTTATAGTCGAGACAAAATCCCTAGAATCGTCGAGAATGTGCCACGAAAGTCGAGTATTGTGTGTTTCCGCTATATGAGAATAGATGGCGATGTACTCCTCGAGCTATCCTTCGATATTCGTAACAATATCATTTCCCTCATATATGTTTTGGGAACACACATTGATAGCGAAATTAAATTTTCACAACTAATAATTATAATATTTTTGTTAACAGGTAAGCTGGAACACGTGTACAGCATCTAAGACTTCGATCAAGGTCTCACGGTGAGTAATATTACCCTCAATCAAATCAAATCAAAATTTTTTTATTCAACATAAATGAAAGTACGTACTTGTTGAACGCCAAAAAGAAACTACCGCCAATTCACAAAACTAGCATCCGTCCTGAGAAGAACTGGCAAGAAACTCAGCGGGAAGTTTTTTTTTTTTTAATATTCATGTTTAAAAGGGGTATTATAACAGGCTGGGTATATATCAATAATGGGTAGGTATTACAAATGGGCTCCTATAACCTTTTAATAGAACTTGGACTGTTGCTGCTTTGTGAGCAACGTCAGGATACATAAAGATAAATTTTCCACCATGATCATGTCGCCACGACCTGGGTGGCGCTCCGTCGTCTGCTATCGGAGATGAGTTAAAGGGAATTCTGGCCAATAAGAGACGCTTGGGACTTTGTTGTACTTTTTAGAATCTAAAGTGTGTTCATGCTATACTTGCTATACTAGTTAGCAAGTATCCGGCTTTGGAATGAACTCTCTCCTCCACGGTGTTTTCCGAGCGCTATGACATGTGCTTTTTCAAACGAGACTTGCGGAGAGTACTTAATGGTAGGCTGCGGCTTAACTCTGCCCCTGGTATTGCTGACGTCCATGAGCGACGGTGACCACTTGTCATCAGGTGGGCTCGTCTGTCTACAAAAGCAATAATAAAAAATAAAAAAATGCTATTATCCTTTCTTCTTTTATCGGCGAAGCAGTCCTGCCTTCGAAGCGCAGGACTGCCAAATAAGAAAGGACTCTTACTTGATATTAGAGTGGGACGTGACCTCGTTCACTCAAACCCGTAAAAAAACAAAATAGAAGAATAAAATTGAATGGACCGTTTATAAGAACTTGTGGGATTTTTAAAATCTCGGCCTTTTTCAATTTACTCGGGTAGCTTGCTATTTATTCTGTGCACGATGAAGTTCTAAACAGTCCTTTGACACTCGTAGCCTGCGACACGTAGCACTCCGTAGCACTTTGCTACGCGGCATTGTTTATCGTAGCGAGTTTATTTCCTAGAAGTTTGTCTTTTGTTCAATCTTCGCGTGAGCACGTGTATTCAGTATGCAAGCTTTTAGACTGGAATTAAGCAATCTTGGGAAGTACGTCCGTGGAAGCTGTCTAGAGGCTTGTTACGATGATATCAAGTGTAAGTAATGATGATTGTGTTCATGGGTGCTCACGATGGCATGTATATTTTTAAACGTAACCTAACCAGCTATTCATTTGCAATTGTGAGCCATAAAATCATTAAGGGGTTCGCAGATTTGACAACTTTTGTTTCTATAGGTGTGTAGGGTGTCCTGGCAGATATCGTCTGGTAGGTCGCCCTGCAGGTAGGTATAAAAATATACGAAGTATTCAATTCAAAAGTCTGTCGATGATGGACGTTCCTTTGTATCGAGCTATGTCATTGACCTTGCTTTTCAGCTGATTTTTATCGAGGGTTTTTTTAATCATGACCACATGCAAGCACTCGCTTTCCGAAATGAGACTTTCCTATGTATGGTGTATAATGAATGGTGTAGAAGCGGATAGTACTCTTTTTTTTATTGCTTAGAAGGGTTGACGAGCTCACAGCCCACCTGGTGGTTACTGGAGCCCATAGAGCTAGAGAGAGATCTATGACGTAAATGCGCCACGACCCATCTTGAGATATAAGTTCTAAGGTCTCAGTATAGTTACAACGGCTGCCCCGCCCTTCAAACCGAAACGCATTACTGCTTAACGGCAGAAATAGGCAGGTCGGTGGTACCTACCTGTGCGGACTCACATGAGGTCCTACCACCAGTGAACTCCGCGGTTGGTAGCCACTTAGCTGTTTCCTTGGCATTGCTGACGGTCCATCAGCGACGGTCAATGCTCACCACCAGGTGGACCGCGTCCTCGTCTACCTCCCAAAGCAGTCTGTGCTGCATGTCTATTCTTATACAGTCACAAACACGAGTATAAATTTACGCTATCAATCACGACGCGGTCCACAAAAATCGATTCTTAAGTGGCTTTTTTTGTCCCCAATAACTTTTGAATAATACTACACACAGCCCTATTATGTTTACCTAACTTATTAAAGAACTAAAAGATTGGTAGTCGAAAACCAAATAAAATTGGATTGTATTTTAATATCGAAGTTTTCTAAAAATCTTGCTGCTACATTGTTCAGTAAAAGCTTTTGTGAAAAACAAGACAGTATGTTAATAAACATCTACCTCTATTTTAATATCGAAATATTACTTTTCCATCAAAGACACACAATTAAACTCTGAAAATATGAAAGTATTCTTAGATAGATATAAAACTAAAGTCATTATTAAAAGAAAAAACAGAATCTATACTTATTTATTTCGATATATAATATAAAGCTGAAGAGTTTGTTTGTTTGAACCCTCTAATCTCAGAAATTACTGGTCTGATTTGAAAAATTCTTTCAGTGTTAGATAGCCCATTTATTGAGGAAGGCTATAGGCTATATAACATCACGCTAAGACCAATACAAGTGGAGCACCAATAAAGAAGGTTTCAAAATAGGGGTTTAAATAGCTCGTTAACATTCTATAATTCAAAATCTTCACTTTCTGCATAAATGAAGTGGGGGGTAAAATTTACCGTTATGCTTAAGTAACTATTCCATGTGGACGGAGTCGCTGGCAAAAGCTAGTTAGATATAAAAATAGATGAGTACAACTGGTATTAAATGCTTACCGAAGTTCGTGGATATCGCGTATGATTTTAGAGACTACCTGTTCATATTTCAGTTGTTCGGCTTTCGAAATAAGATCCTCTTTGTTAGTAGATGGATTGTACTCATCTTTAACTTCACAAAATGATTATATATTGGAAGCCTTCACAATTCTCTGTTCAGCTTATTTCTTCATTTTCCATATTGTTAGTTCAGTGAATGGTTCCGAATGTTAAATAGAATTTTAGCTAATTAATCCCTTATGTTTTTGCTTTGGAGTTTCTGTCGATTAAAATACTGAATTGGTTGAATTTTATTAGATTTCGTATCACATCATAGTATAAAATAAAGTCGCTTTCTCTGTCCTTACATCCCTATGTATGCTTAAATCTTTAAAAGTACGTAACGGATTTTGATGCGGTTTTTTTTAATAGATAGAGTGATTGAAGAGGAAGGATTATATGTATGATAACATCCATTAAATTGTGGAGAAATCAAAAGTAAATCACAGTTTCCGAAGCGAAGCGAGACCGGGTCGCTAGTATGCTTATAAAAAGTTGAGAAAGCAATCGGATTAGCGCATCGAATTACGCATTAAAATAGAAAAGCATATTTTATGATTCTAATTAGAAAGTACCTTAATCCATAAGAATTTTTTTTAGTAAAGATTATAATGGCATTAGTTACAAAACGACGTAGCAATTAATGTTCTTAAGAAGGTATAGAAACTGCAGTAGTTAAAATTCATTGTATGTTCTGCATCCTAATGAAGGTGAAGAAGCTACGAGTTCATAGTTTTCATCCTTGTCTGTTATTTCTATATACAACTCTCCTGAACGACCTCTCGCCACATCTTTCACGTCGCAACTTCGTTCGAAGATCTGTCATAACTCGTTTCTGTTTTTCCTTCTTGATATATGGTGGCTCACACGAGGGAGTGGAGATAAAAAACAAACAATCCATTAAATATTCAGCTCTGTACAAGGGCATTCACGTCATCAGTCACTCGGCCTCTGTCAACGGAACCCTTTGAGGGCGTTCTGACGCTGAAGCCGAAATTAATACTGAAAGCTGCGTTCTAAGGGTACTTTTTTTTTGGTTGATTTCCGTCGAGATTTGTGTACCGAAATGTATCAAATAGGTACTTTAGTTCGGAGTCTGGCTTTTTGAGACTTTAATTAGCTTTGTTTGTGAGTACATATATAAAGCTTTGTACCAATCTTGGAGTCTATTTATAAAGAGAAACCGAGAATAGTGCTCAGAAATTGGAGAGGCCTCTGTTTAGAAGTGGACTGCTATAGGCTGATGATGATGATGATGATGATGATGATGATGATGATGAAAGGCCGTATCGAGGTGAAGGAGATTTTAATGTTCGCATGTTTTATACGCTTAGTCGAACCTCCAGTTAATTGGAGCAACTCTAAAATCTATAGTGTAAATACTGTTTCATGTTTTAAATCGATAAAACATTTTTTCTTAGATGGGTGGACGAGCTCACAGCTCACCTGGTGTTAAGTGGTTACTGAAGCCCATAGACATCCACAACGTAAATAAAACGTCACCCGCCTCGAGACATAAGTTCTAAGGTCTTAAAACGGCTGCCCCGCCCTTTAAACCGAAACGCATTACTGCTTCACGGCAGAAATAAACGGGGCGGTGGTACCTACCCGCGCGGACTCACAAGAAGTGCTACCACCAATAAGTATGATGGCTACCGGCACACGCGTACATCAACATTACCATCAAAGGACGATATGATGAATTCGCCATACGTACTCAACGTAAACAAACTGCACACACCAAGTCTGTTTCCGTGACAGGATTCCTGAGTACAAAAGTTTCGCGGCGAAATGTACAAGTTCATGCGAACTTCCAGAACACAAGTCCAAGTTGAGGGAAATCTGTGACGCTTTTAGTTTAATTATTTACTTGATCTTGGTTAAAGTTTTGTCTCAATTATTACTTCGGCACGTTGATGTCTATTTGATTAAGGTCAGGGGTCGCTAAGCATTTTCGTCCTGTGCTCACAGATTAGTTCCTGACAGAGATTGAATACATAAAAAGGTGGGTGGTGCATTTACGTCGTAGATGCCCATGGGCTCTAGTAACCACTTAACACCAGGTGGGCTGTGAGCTCATCCACCCGTCAAAGCAATACAAAGAAAGGTATTTGACAGATGCCTGAACCTCGTTAACGACATTTTCAAGATAACCTTGCATATATTCAAGTTCCGAACAACAACATTCGGACCGTCGGTCTAACGAGCAATATCACCGGCTCGGTGGAAGATCTTGCTTTCGTCGTTAAATCTACA